CAAACCAACATCACCTGGCTATTTGTCCCGACACTGAGAAGAAGAACGAGTTGATGAACTCATTTTCTTACATGGAGGACACTATGCGCAAGTGCTTCACCGAGGACGACAAGGCAATCATCCGACGTGATGTTGAAAGCCGAAAGAGGAAAGCAAAGTCATCCAAAGACGTCGAAGACGAGGACTACATGGATGTGGATGATGAAGATATTGAACTTCCCGAAGAAGAGCCGGAACTAGGAGGTAAGGTACCACCTCACTCTCCGAGAGCCAAAGGTAGACCACATTCGTCAGGCTCTGCAAAAGAGGAATACGCGAAAGCGGTCGAGGCAACCAAGAAGGCCTTCGGGAACGCCAGTTTCGTCACCAGATTCAAAGAGCCCGTCGACCTCTTTGACATTGCCGATGACAAAGAAGGAGGAGAATACAGGGTCGCAAATCACAGGGTTGATAGATCAGGTCCCGATGGAAAGAGGGAACTTGATGCACTTATTCAGGAGGCTGCAGCACTCGGAATAAAGATGCCCAAAGTGAAAGACCTTGTTCCTGACCAACAACAAGTTCACAAGGTTGGATATCGGCAGATTGAGGTGACTTGCGATAGAGGAAACATCGAGATAATTCCACAGTATGGAGTTACATTCTATGTGGAGTACTGGAATGGACCGAAGAGAGATGCAACTTTCACGGATCCACCAAAGATGAACCCAGCAATTCGCATCGACAAGTTCAGCGAGGAGAGTCAGTGGGTCAGCGAGATTAGCCATAGACTCAATAGACTACTCAGGCATGGAGTGGGAAAGCATAATGGGATTCAATCGCACCGCGGTCGAAAACCTCATGTGTCCCCGAAGTGCAATGAGGGTGGATGGGTGAACATCGATGAGATCCTGGAATATGATCATGTCTTCAACGATGGTGTCAATATCAGTACTATCTCAGGCACTCAACGTGAGCAAGATACCAAGACAGAGCGATACCAATATTTATGCAAGGCGATGTGGCATGCAAAGAAGTTGCAGAACAGAGTACGCTATCAGATTGCCGCCATTCGCATCTCAAAGGAGGATGTCTCACTCGAAGAGGAAAGGCAATACTGGGCAAACCTCATGTATTACAGCACAGATGCACCGTCATTTCTGAAGCATGAACGTTGGATCGTTCCTTGTGCAATTCGAGCTGTTGCCTCTCACAATTCTGGAAGAGAGACTGTTCTTGAAGAGGATGTGTCAATATATCCTGTGTGGACTTCACATCTCATTCCAGAGAATGTGGCAATGCAGCTTGGAGGAAGCTTTCACATGACATCGCTTTCCAATATTGAGTCAATCATGAAACTAGGAATTGTCCCTGGTGGAACGGATGGATATAGAGGTAGTGTTTTCTTCAACCACTTTGCGCCGTGGGATGATCGATCATCAAAGATTCTGAGATCAAGATGGCCAAGAGTGGGAATGCCCGTTTGCCTTTATGTTCCAATCATGACTTTGAGGAAGCTTGGGGGAAGAATTTCGGAGAATTCCTACACTGTTGTTTTTAGAGAAGTTCCATGGAGATGTGTACGAGGTGCTTGGTATTGGGACGACCACGTTCAGGCATGGAGGAGACTCCTGCTGGGAAGCACTGGAGAGCAAGTTGTTCTAGCGGCACATCATGGACTTTGGGTTGCTCAGAAGCATACCATCCTCGAGAGAGCCGACGAAGTCACGAAGTCAGCCTCGGCGACAGATGACAACGTCCAAAAGCTCGTGTCCCTTATCGATGAAGTAAAATTCGATGACAATGGAGAGCTGATCGAGGATTCCATCAGTGAGGAAACTTGGGACGAAATCATCTCCAGAACATGTGAAGGGTATCGCAACGTGGATGGCAATATTTTGTGTCCATCATGTATGCATTTGACTTCTTCATCTTTGTCCGTGTGTCTATCTTGTCAAGGCAGGCTACTCTCGTGTGGTATTCGCAACACTGTCATTTCCGATTCACCCGTTGATCTTGTGACCGACGATGAAGAGGAAAAGAAGGAAGAGAAGGAGCCTGAAGATGATGTTCAAGATACTTTGGACCAGGCCACTATGGACGAGATCAGAAAGGCTTGGGAAGAAGACATCGCTCAAACTGAAGCAGCTGACGACGACGAGGACATGGACAATCTAGATCCTTCCAAACCGTCTGATGGTACAGAAAACTTCAAGAGTGACAATGTCGAGACCCCATCTTTCAATGAGGACGAGATCGACTACGGTCGTGATTCTGATCTAGAAGATGAAGACGAACGAAACGTGATCATCGAGATCCAGAGGAGCACACAACAATATGAGGGGAAGAAACGTCAAGATGGTGAGCCCGAGGATGAAGACGTCACCGATGACTTACATCCGGAGGCGAATCGACCGACAGATCGTGACGAACCGGGATATTATGCACAGCATGGAGCGACCGAGTTCAATCCCGAAGAAGGAAAAGACAACGAAGATCTCCCCATCTATTGTCGAGTACCGGAACCTCGAATCTATGCGCATCAAGAGAGAGCCTACTGTCAGGACGTCTCCGTGAAAGCATCGGGTTTGATGGATAGGTATGTGGTCAAATGTGTGCTGAACATGATCTCCCTGATGTACAAGAGCTACTATTGCACCAGCCTTACCGACTTCAAAGCAAATTGGAAAAGGAAGCGTCTGGATGTGATAAGCAAGTTCGGTACAGGAGATTCCACTGTAATCGATGACGATGGGAGACCATTGGATCCAACAGATGATATGATGTTAATCTTTGCCAACGACAACAATATTACGACTGAGGAGGCCTGGCACCGATTCAGAGGAGAGCAATTCATTTGCAAGGTAGCACTCATGATCCTATCATTTGGTCATACTCCGAACTCCTTCAAGGAGGAATATGGCAACTTCGAACACTCCACCGACTTGACTGATGCCCAGCTTGAGGAGTTGAAAGCGAAGAAAGCCAGCGCAATGACTGAATTGGTACAGAAGTGCATCCATGCGATTTATGGTTGTCGGACATATTCTTACTTTAGAACCGACGTTACATCACCCAATCACAAGGTGATCGACCCTCTGGACATCATGTACTCGAGAATGAAGAGCAAATGGGAGAAGTCTATTCTGTTGATCATTAATCAACATGAGATAAGGTTGCCCCCACAAGCTCAGGAAGTCATAGAGTCAATGGCCAGAAACCCCAACGTTGGACATACAGAGAGATGGATGAGCGTGGTAGAACATAAGCATGTTCAAGCTCTTACCAATCGTCTAGGCTTTGGAGATAGGGCCAAGGAGATTCAGGGCAAGAAGAAGCAGGCAGCCAAGGCAACAGCTAAGTCAACATCAACGACTAAGTCTGAAGCGAAAGCAGCATCTTCGTCAAGAGCTGAGGCAAAGCCAGCATCTACACCCAGAACCGAGGCCAAGCCGTCGTCAGCACCAAGTGAGGAGCCAAAACCTTCAACAGCACCTAAGAGTTTCGGGCCCTCATCAACAGAGGAGAACAAGGTGAAGGCTGCTCCAAAAGCCAGACCACATGATAAATCACCATCCAATGCTACCGATGTGTTTGAGCAAGCTTTGCAGGAAGATCTTGCCGCCAACGCACATGCAACAGAAGGTACAACTTCTTCATCATCCCGAGCACATTCCAAAGGAGGAGGCCAATCTGGAACATCTTGGAGGCCGGCGCTAACGCAAGAACGTCGTGAAGTACCTCAACCTTCTGAAAAGGGGAAGGGAAAGAGCAAGTCCAAGGGAAAGTCCAAGAAGGGAGAAGATGATCGGCGGGATGCTCAAGGCAGCTGGGATCATCGTGGATGGAGAGGTCATCACCAGTGGTGATTTCTTTGAACGACTATGAGGATACCATGCAAACCAGGGAGGAAGTCATTCACCGGATGTCTATCTGACCTGAAACGCTGTAAGTGTATCATTGCAAATCGTCAATCTGATTTGATACCATGAGCATAATGGAAGGAAGACAATCACCGACTGTCTCTCCGACTTGCCGTTCTGTAAGTGTATCCAAACCAAAACCTACATCTTTTGAGAAGTGTGAAGTCAGTTGCCGATGTGACATCTATGTGGAAGTCACCAGTTCTGATCTACATCAAAGCGATGCTCTTTTGAGTGGATACTGAGCGAGGCCTCGTGACTGTCTCACTTGTTCAATTCGATTTTTTCATAGGTTCTGAGCCATAGTTGCACACTTTATATGTAAAAGTCCGCTTTAGTCCAGCATGTTTCGTAGTATGAGCCTCATATGAGTCTCGCGGCAAATCATACAATTTCTTTTGTAGCACTTACATCCCTAAATTTTCGTGTGTGATCGGAACATATTGTTGCCGTTCACATGGGGGGTGCGAATGGAAGTGCAGCGACACGTACAGTGCAACTTGTACATATATATGTACCATATGTACTTTGGCTCAAGGATCAAGCGACTAGAAAAGGTGCGGTTTCCGTTCCGACGCTACGCCGCTTATGGACCGTCAGTGATAGCTTCAAACTTCGCTGATTAAGATCCACTCGCAGAAAACACGGTTTTTGCACAGTGAAGTGGCCGCACTCGTGGTGAGTTGTGAACAAATATCCAGTGCCATAGAAAAGAATCACAGAACAGTAGGGTTTGTGAGTGTTGACACACACACACACACAATCACACACACACAAATCGTGCATGTCCTGTCATAGGCTAGGCACAATGGTGGTAGGGTTATCGGCTGTAATTAACGTGTATGAGTTCAATGACCTGCCCAGAAGAACCCACCTATAGTTCCTGAAGAAGCTCATCTTCCCTTCGCATGACTTGTTGTCGTTTCACATGTTCTCACCACCCATCAAGCGTGTGTTTTTTAGACAACAAAAAGAGATCCGGCTTGAATACACCTACCCTAAGCGTTACCACACTGTTTGGGGAACCAAGCATGAAAATCTGCTGCATCCCATCAGAACGACGCCCCTCCCCCCCCCAGACCATCAGCTCGGCGGGAGGCCCAGCTATGAGATCGCTGTGGGCGACCAGGCGGTCGCCTGGCTGGCGGTGTCCTCGAAGCTGCGATCCGTGGTGGTGAAGACCAAGAAAGTCCAGGCGCCGCAAGACGTTTCACTCCTCGGGCCCCCCCTTCAGGTCGGTCCCATCCGTTGGAGAGCGAGAGCGAGCGCATCGCACGGTCCCCACGTATACTTCACGGTCCCAGACGCGAGTGGCGCACGTGAAGATCCCATCCGACTTTGGGAAAATGGTCGCACGTGACTCTGGGACCGGCCATGGCGAGGGACGTGTCGTGTCCACAACGTTGGACGTTGGGCGGGATGAGACAGACATGGTTAACAGGACCACCCAACCACGACAGACACGCACCCTATACCACCACCAACAGCAACAACGACCATTGTAGATGGTGAGAAGGATTGAGAAGGATTGAGAAGGTTGTTTTGCTTTTAGGACCTTAGATGTTGATGGATGTTGGCGAACTGCGCTTGCACTACCGCAATGTAGGTTTGTTGTGCCACTTAACAATGCAGGATATTGATGGTATACATCGCCCACTTACCGCTGTGTGGACAACCTTTGAAACTACACCTTTTTGTTTGTTCCGGGGAGGGCATTGCTTTTGCGATGAGGTGTTAGCCCAAAAGAGTTGTATACTGTATACTGGTACATTGCGACAGTAGTGACGTGACTTGAGCACGATTGGATAGAGGTAAACCTGGCAATGAAAGGACGGACATACAGATACACATCCCAGACACGACTAATGGGACTGCCATATATGCCGCCCCATTGACCCCCAGTCAACCACCCCAACTGATCGGTAAATATACCAGTCCCATGGAGTGTCTGGGCATGAATCTGATGAGTGGATAGTGTTTGTCACCTCGGCTACCGCTCTGCGGTGCTGAATCGATCGAGATCTGCAGCAACCTCATCTGATGGGTTCTCCATCTGCAGCAACCTCACCGGGGTGCTTTGAGGTGGTTTGGGCTGCTTTTTTTCATGTGGGCCCAACACCTTTCAGTTCCCGACCTTTTCTTGGGGGTCGAAAAGCACCCGCGAGCCAAGCACCGAAAGGAGCCAAGCACCGAATTCACCAGCATGAGCCAAGCACCAGCGAATTCCGCATCCTCCGCTCTGCTCCATCAAACGCCGCGCGCTGCTCCAAACGCCGCGCAGAGAGCGCAGGTCTCCGTAGATGAACCAACTCTCTTCGGCCCTTCGTGGGCAAGGCATGGGGAGACGTGAAACGGAGAGACCGAACTCGATCTAAAGGGTCGTCCAGGTCCTTGGCGAAACACACCAGGAAAACTTGGGGCTCAACCGGAACAAGATGGAAAGAACATGTGGTTGCATGTTCAAAGGGAAGGCATTCGACTAGCAAATGAGGAAACGCATTTGGCATAGGTTTCTCCTTGTCTTTGACGGGGTTTTCACTCGCATCGACTACGACCACGCCGAAGAAACACGGACTCCTCCGTTCGTGGACACTCTCGGTCCACTGTGGCGTGCACAAGACGGTCCACGGTCCAGCACCGTTTGCCAGGGTCCAATGATCTGGATGATTCAAGGGGTGTCCTGTTTGGAGGTCCCGGATAGTGGTGTAGGGGCTTGAAGGTGCTGGTTTTTATGTATAGTGAGATGCTTTCTTGATTTGTTTCTCTTTAGATGATCTGATCTATATCTTTTTACAGTTAAATGTTTGATCGAAGTCTTTTTCTGGATGATTTCTTTAGCCTTCTGCAAACACATCCTTGATGTTTTTGCCATGTTGTTTCGACCAATCAGTTCAGCCAAATGTTCTCCTGTTTGGCCATATTATGCCTTTCTGATATGTTGATCCCACATGTCTTGGACTGGAACTACAGATGTTTCAGGCTGTTCTCACCCAGCCAATCGACCGATTGGATCCGACGAAAGCCGTGTCTCAGTGGAGACACGGCCGGGCACGTTCCCTCACAACGGGCTGCCGCCATACGTGGTCGTTGAGCATCAAGGATGATGAAGTTCAAAACCACATCCTTCGATCGCCTTTCAAAAACCAACTCTGTAGCGAACAGATGACGGTTCTTGGAGTTTGTGGCTTCCCGGCTTCCCTCCAAAGTTTGTGAGTGTGCGAAATCGCATAGAACTGCCGGCGCTGGGAGGAAAATCTTGAAGAATTTCGGGCTCTATGACATGTACGTGCCTCGACTGCAAGTCGTTGGTCCGCTGGGTTGTTACCAATTGTGACCGATTTGTCCTGGAATGCGTTGAGCGCGAACTGATGGAGTGTTATTTTTTGAGCTCTGTGCAAGAGTCTCGGGACACACCAACTGTTCCCGTGCACAGGTCCCAGTAGTTTGAGATTCTTTGAGGAAGTGCAATTGTTGGAACAAGGTGGACCCTCCAAAGTACTTGTGTTTTCATGTGTTTTCCAGACATTTTCGAGAAATATTTTCATAAACTTCCATTTTAGTCATACCATGCCATACCCATACTTTGCGCTGCAGGGTTTTCACTTGCTGGGCCAGTAGACGTTCCCAGCACATTTGCAATGGAGCGTGGTAAGGAAACTCCATGAGAAACACTAGGAATTCGAACAACTGCCAGAAGCTCTAGACTAGAAGAATGCCCGCGTTGTTAATGGTGAGTTCCTGATACATGTTCCGCGTCAACAGTCTGGTTTGATCCCGTTTGTGAAGATGCAGACATGGATGACACTGCAGGTTATGAAGTCGGTATGAGGGCTTCCAGAGTGGACGAGGCTTAGACTTACATGCTCAACTCGCAAGGTTTGTCTCACATCTTCAGCTTCCTGAAGCCATCATGAAACCTAACAAAAACATCGGCTGCCAGGAGTCTCAAAGGAAGCGGTGGTTTGGTTCGTCCCATCCAGGGCCTGTAGATGTGCACCCGTCCGTTCGCCCGACTTGGCCGTGACAGTGACTCCAGTCGACGGGACTGGGAGAGTAAAAGAGATCATTTTTCGATATTTTTCGCCTGAACAGTTGGCATGTTTGTCACCCCTGTAGGTAGGAGCAAGACGCCACGAACGGGGCTCCTGGCATCGCTACGAACGGGGCTCCTGGCCTTACTACTAGGAACAAGAACGCTACATTCGGAGCTTGAAATGAATAGGGCCTCTTGAGGAACACATAGCTAGCAGGGAGTGCAGATGGATGTGGCGATGTAGCAATGTAGATACTACCTCACGACGGGTCGTGGTCGACATGAGGTTTGTTTTTTGACAGCAAAACGTTGAATATGGCAACAGGGGATGTTGAACCCTTGGATTCACTGCTTTGTCACTACCTTTTTGCCAGGGTAGTTGGAACTTGAACATAAACTTGCACGTGTGTTTTGGAGTGCCCTTCTATTATTGTTGGTCAAAATTGAAGATCAATTATGATATAAAGCCTGAGGTTCATCCATCATCCCGCTCATCCATAATGTTCTTCGCTTGGTCACTACCTCCATCCTCTCAGGTGCTGCATGCACTGCCGTCGTATTTCTGGAATCGCTGCCCCGGTGCCTTGCGCGTGCGGGTGCTGAGAGGCTCCAGCGGACCAAGCCAGGTGCTCTCGTGGCTTGGAGCATTGGATTATATTGGATTCATAGATATTCGAGGGGATATACCCTCAAGTGCACATACCTACAGAGGTAGCCAGTGACCGTAAATAGGACCCGGAAAACCAGGGGTACCCAACTAGGATAGTCTATGGGGTTCTCAACCTTTGCTGGTAGGTACCCTCCTTGAATTGCTCCTCATTTGTTTTTGTTGGTGGCAGACGGAAGATCCGGTCCTGCGCACCCATCCTCGAGCTTTTTGAATCCCCCCAGGTCCAAGGCTTTGACTTTTGAACATAGTAAAGATCAGACTTCGTTGGAACCCAAAGGCTTTTGAGCACGGTTTCTGAATTGGACTCCCTCCTCGACCTCCGACTCTCAACCAACCATCCAACTTCCGGTCGCCGTTGTTTTCCGCTGCTTTTTGCCCGTGCGCCACCAGGCTGCTCTCTGCTGAGAAGCGGATTCATGCCTTTCATCTTCCGGAAGAACAATATCGACGGAACACCTGGTGGGTTTCAGGTGAGACTTTCCTCGTGGTCCTTTGTGGATTGCTGGACACTTGGCGTGCGATCCAGAGGTCAAACTGTACACTCTAGTTCGGACTTCCCCTGTAACTCACTGCCCGAGTGGGTCAAGGAGTCGATCAAGTGTTATAGGTTGTGTGTGTGTTTGTTTATGTTTGTTTGTTCCTTGTGGCCGAGATAGATTAGGTGTTCATGTTGGTATTATTTGGTGTTGGTGGGTTCATCTCCCTCTTTGGTACTGGAACCGTGTACCCACCGACCATGTGTTCCGGCCCGTACGTACGCCATCCGTGCCAGCCTCACCGCCGTTCGCAGGTGGCCATCGTCTTCTCAAGCTTCTTAAGGCCAGCGCTCCGAGCGTTGAGGTCTCGCTCCGTGTGTTCCGTGGGAAGCAGAGACTTGCGGAGACAACATCCCAGACTCGCGTTCGAGTCTGCGGCTGACACTGAAGTATTACTAAGAGTTGAGGATCCAGAAAGACGGAGGACGGGGGTTGTGGGAAAAGTTACCAAATCGGGGCGTTCACTGTCCCGGACTTTGCTCCCGCTTTCGAAATCGTTCCGGATGATTTGTGGGAGTTCCTCCGTCCGAATTTGGTGGAGAGGAACTGCTTGGATCAGATGCCGAACTAGGCTCCACCATGCCACCAATCTGTTGGCCACATCCCAGCCGTGGTAATCCGGATGGCTCATCAATCGGACGTCGCAATCCATCAACATGAAAGCGAGTTCCTTTGGTTGACGGTGGATCCCTATAGGCAAATGGGTGTGTAGTTTAATATGGACCCCCCCACCAATTCGTTGTGGTTTATGTTTCTTCTTCCAGGGGGTCTCCCTATTCAAACACACACCCATTGCCATGTAGAGTCTTGAAAGAACGAGGGCGACAGCATTTCAATGCTCCCCTAAATAATTACCAGCCGTTGAGCGTTTTCAATCCAAACATCCCTGACTGGCCCCGATGGATGGATCGTGCTTTTTGAATCTTTTTGATGAAGATGATTGCAACATTCAACATGGTTACGACTTGTTCCATCTATACTCCCCCTCCGAACTCATTTGGGCCAATCCCTATATGACGTCCTCTCGTCCTGACGGCTCAGACTGAGCAAGCTCCGCAAGCTCCCTGACATGGTTGGTATGTGTGTCCCAGCCCATCCTGAGGCAAACCGGTCATATGTCACACCGAGGCGGCACAACGCTATAATTTGCGTAGCTATTGTCTCAAACGGTATAGCCGTTGGACCATTTTGATAGGAAGTTTGACCATGTTTTGGTTCCAAAACAGGGGTCAATCAGGTTGCAGCCACAACATAGTCAAACTTCCTATCAAAACAGAGGTCAGAATGTAAGTATATATTGTCACACAAAGGCATGCGAGAAGTGTGACGATTGAACCTCATGCTGAGTCATTGCTGCCACACGAATCGGACTTGCTTGCTTGGATCCGCGGCTGACCTGATGATCTCCAATCAAGCAACTCTTGCCTGAAGTATGTGATAGGTTGATCATGTTTGGAATCGGTAGATCTCCACAGACTCCACGGATGTTGGATTGCTAACCCGCCAAATTCTCCCTTTCAGTGCTGGCCAGGAGCTTTCTAGTTCTGAGCTGCCGAATGTATGTCACTCGGGCAACCGATGGAAGGAGTGGATGCAGATGCAGAACACCTGGGCCATTTGGGTACTGGTTGGAAGTACTTTGACAATCCATACACTGCTCAAACTGTGTAATTCTCTAGTGGGAAGAAGGCAGGCAGCAGGGTTCTTAATAGACACATGTCCCAGACATTCGGCTGCTCACAGCGGTGCTGAGATGGAGGTCAATGTTGTAGAAGTCTTTTGATGGTCTTCGGGTTACCCCATACATGGATGGTCTGGGTAGTAGTGTTTGTGGAAGAATGCACTCCATCTTCAAAGTCTTGGATCCAGTGACAGCGCCACTGAAGCTCGAGTCTTTCAGATGGAATGTGGTTGTCCATGTATTCATGTTCAGCTTCTTTGCTTTTCGGAGTAGACTACTACTACTACTACTAC